ATTAAATTTAGCTCATCTTGTAAAGGAGGAATATGTGAACAAAATAATAAAAGTTATATTGTGAGAAAACTTCACTTTTTCCTTTTTTTGATGACACCATTATTTTATATAATTTGAATTTTTGTTGTACCATTTATAGCTTCACCAAGCAATGAAGAAAATCTTTTTCATCTTCTTTTTTTGTATTTCAAAGTATGTATTTTTGGTGCGTTCTACAATGCTCATACCAATGAAATAAAATGTTGCATGTTCAGCATATTCAAAAAGTTTGGCATATTTATTAGTTCCTATCAAAAGTTCCCCAACATTATGTTGATCATTTATGTTCAGCTTTGAGAACACTACCAAATGAAGCATTCTCTTAGGAAAGAAAATAAACATTAATACATACATTAATCAACTTTTTTTTTTCACTTTATTTTTCTCATGCTCTCAGTTGTCAACAATGAGATTGCTACAAACAGCTATTAGTATAAATTCATGTATGATGTTGGTATTTGAAAAGATAAAATATCATGTGAGAATTGCTAATTATATATGGAAACCCATTTACATAAACCCATTCATATGAGTTTTCCAAAATGAAGGATTATTTCATAAAATAAATTATAAATTATCAAAAAGCTAATAAAATGAAGGATTATTTCATAAAATAAATTATAAATTATCAAAAAGCTAATAAGATATAAATTATTATACAATATTTATGCAGATTATAATATCATAATTCTCTAAAGCAAATTGAAGAACATTATTTTACATGATGTGTTAATGTAAAATTTTGATGTGTATGATTCAAGTATATAGAATAAAATCAATATAAGTTTATCTTTTATTTGCGAGGCAATTAGGTACTTCTTGCATATCCTTGAACTCTTAATTGGTGCAAAGTAATTTGCATTTCCAACAGACAACATTAATTGATGGATTTCATTAGAAGATGGATCAATGATTCTATATTATTGTTGTAGAAGGGGTGTTTCATGCTCACCACACTAATTTGATAGAAGCAAAAAATGAATGAGAAGATAAGTAGAATGCATTGATAGAATTATTTTTCTCCTTTTTCTAATAGCATATATTAAGGTAGACAAAGTAGCTATTGTCCCATTATGAGCGGGAGCCAAAACTATTAAATATTTAATGAATATCTTATAAATGCTTTCTTTGACCCGAGCGTTACAAATTTTTTATTGATTTATAATGCTCGATATAATTGTTACAACACTCGATATCATTGTCTATATTAAATATATTTAATATCTTTTATTTATTTATTAGTCTATCAAATATTATCGATGACTTGTTTACTAGTCACTTCATAATACTCTTTTTTTTTTATCTATCAATAACTTTTTTTTTTTTTTTGCTCTTTTTTTTTTATGCTATCAAATAACTTTTTTTTTTTTTTTTACTAATGGCGAGTTGGTGTCTAACCCTTAGACAGGACTAAATGGACATAACGTATCCTTATTCTTTCACCTTGGTTCCTTTTTTTTTTTTTTTTATATGGGAGTGGTGTCTAACCCTTAAGACAGACTAATGGACATACGTAATCCTTATTCTTCACCTTGGTTCCATGCAAATGCCCCCTCTGCATGGAGGTTAATAACTATTTCCAAGGAAGATATTACAATCTGCACAATTTAAAGCAAATCAAATTCAATAAGGGGCAGAATAACAATTATAAGGTATTTTTTTTTTGTATAACCATGACGTGTAATCTCTTTTACACCATAGAGTGTAAAAGTTTTTTGTGCTCCTAGTAAAGTATACTTCTCGGATATTGAACTTGTGTTTGTATCTTTATGCGGATTGAGATCGCTTAACACCCTAATCAATACCTTATTGGTAACCCATGACCAACTTTCATACTTATGTTAAATACACTTGCAACTTATATAAATAGGAATTATGATAATGTTAGACATGTTTATAAATTTATTAAGTGTGAAATTATAAATTATTTTATTTTTCTACAATGTAATTGTTGACTACAGCTTAAATATGTTAATTGATAGCTCAAACATGTTTATAAATTTATTACAATGGTAGCTTTCTCTGTTTATAGGTTTTAGGCCCAAGCGACCATCTTGACACTCTCTATGCAATATATTCACGTCCAAACCAAACTCTTCTCAATTCAAATCTCTGATTTGGGCCTAATTTTTAGGCGGCAGTCAATAAAATGATTATAAATAATTATGTAATGAAATATATATTCAAATGGAAAACTAAAATAAATAATTATATAAAGGACTAGAATGCACAATTATAATATTATTATTTAGTTGTTAGAATGATGGCAATATGTTAAATAAATCAAACAATCATCACTGGCATTTCCTATTTAGCATTTAAGTACATGCATAAAAGAAAATTATATTATCTTCTTTTTCTTTTAGTTATGTCTATTTGGTATAAATCTTAAGTTTAATTAATATTTTCTTTATTTATTTCTTTATTTTATGCAGACCATGTGTTTTCTTTTTTTAGACTAGTGTAAAAAATATGGATTACTTGTTTTATAAAAAATCTAATTATTTAGGATTTTTTTTTTTTTTTGTTAATGTGACTATGACAACTTTGTTCATGTCTAGTATAAATATAATTAATCACTTAATTATTAAAATTTTGTTTAAAAATAAGAGGAAAGAAAATAATGGGAGAAATAAAATATTATATGATATAATTATTTAATGCTTTTCATAACCTTTCTAAATAAAAAAAAAATTTCTATTCATATTTTCCTTGCATATATTTTTCCTTTTAAAGAATAATCCTTTCCTTGCAAAGAATAAAAGTGAAAAGGAAATATTTGTAATTTTTTTAATATTTAAAATTAGATGATAAAATTGAAAACTACCGTTTTGTTATCTGAAACTCAAAAGATTGATGCGTGTGGGTTGCGCGTCAACAAATAACGTTTTGAAAAAATAAAAAGAAAATTGAGCGTCAAACTTACTTGCAGTCGCAGAATCTTTCTCTCCATCCCATCTCAGATAAGGTTAAAAAAGGGTTAGCTATTGGCTAACCTCACCACCACCGCTTTCGTTTACCATTGTGGAATCTCGATTCTCTTTTAAGTTTTATATCTCGTGATATTTTCAATTTCTCTTTCAGTTTCATCATTCTATTCTTTACCTCTAAAAAGAGAAACACAAATCATTTCGCCTTTCATAATCAAATCCTTCTTCTTTTCCCCTTTTCTACTTGTGACTCTCACTCATTCACTATTTTATATATTTTTTTATATTTTAGAATTTCATCAACAAAATTATGCGATTTAAAAAATTTACAGCGTCAATTTAAAATAAATAATATCATGATATATTTATATGATTTTAAAATATATAAAAATATATACATCAAGAATAACTTAATAATAAATGTAAATACAGTCTGATAATAGATTCAGATTTAAATTTTTACTCTTTAATAATAAAAAAAATCGATATACACGATGTGTTTATATGTTAAGTGATGTGATAATCAATTTTATTCTCCTTGTCAATAATAACAATGATAATGTTTTTCAAATTATTAATCTCTAATATTTCAATCATTAATTATCAATCATAAAACGGCTCTAAATTCATATCATACACTAACATAAAAAACATGCATGTCCTGTGTTTAAAAAAAAAAACTTCAAAAGTCCATTATAAAAAAAAATGTAATTTATAACTAAATCAAATAAGCTTTAAGTTCTGTTTTAAAATATATTATTTTTTCATAATATTTAAGTTCTGTTTTAAAATATATTATTTTTTCATAATTATATATTATATATATTTAATTTTTATTTTATCTTCCCATACTATTTTTATAATTCTTTTTTTAACTTTTTATATTGTTTATATAACATGTCGAATATTTTTAAATTTCAAATTTAAAGTAAGTGATTTCGTAGACAAAAATAAATTAAAAATTTATATTCGTAGACAAAAATAAATTAAAAATTTATATTCCTTTGGCAATTATCTAATTGCTAAATTACTTTCTGCCCTATATAGATTGCCTTTAATAAGCCTTAGTGTATTAATATATTGACTAATAAGATTGAGTTAAAAAAAGTTGCGAATTCAAAAATAGGAAAATATCAAAAGAATATCTATGTGCTGTATTTAAAAAAGCAGAAATACATATATAAAATATAAATAAATATTAAATAAATATATATTTAGTAGGACGATTTTCAATTTTCAAGGGTATGCATACTTTAAAAAAAAGAAAGGCAGGAGAAGTTCACTAGTTTTGATCCTGAATTCCTGGCTGACTCGTATGCGGTACCCTGCACCTGTAGCCTCCTAACTGAAACCAATGTGAGTATTACACGAGAGAGGCCAGAAAGCACGTGACATGCACGTGGATAATAATTTCCTTTACATTCAAGAAAATGCCAACTAAACGCCCCACCTGTGCACCAGAAATCTAAATGGCAAATAAGGAAGCTGCAACTAACCATTTCTTTTACGTGGCAATATCACATTGCCATCAAGAAGCTTCCTCCTCCTTTCCTCTTCAAATATCACACGACACGATAACATTTTTCTCGGCAAATAAGGAAGCTGCAACTAACCATTTCTTTTACGTGGCAATATCACATTGCCATCAAGAAGCTTCCTCCTCCTTTCCTCTTCAAATATCACACGACACGATAACATTTTTCTCACTACGATATTTTATCTTAACCTCAGACCTAACCTACCCCCCTTCCCATTTATCGCCACGAGAGAATTACTACAACCGAAAATAAGGGTCCCACATCCCTCCTTTAGGCCACGCGGCAATCCGACGCTGATTCATCCTTATCAAGGGAATCTCACTCCCCAAAAATGTAAAATTCCCTAAAACCCAAAATAAAGGAGAAAAAATAATTTTAATATAAAAAAATTATAAAAACGAGAAAATGAAAAAGATATTTGCATAATGGCCCAGACCCGGGCCCACAAGCCCAACTAGCATCCCTTCATCTTCCTATATAAAGAAGCTTCGCCATTCATGCAATTCTCGCCAAGTTCTACCTTCGTTAACGTCTTCTCTGTAGACAATACCAAACCCTAGCTCTTTCTGTGCTTATCATTTCCATTGCTGCCCTTCATTTTCTTTTCCTTTCCGGGAAATCTTCATTTCTCTTTCTTTCCATTTTTATCTTTCTTTTAGTTGTTAGATCTGCGTGGTGTGGGGTTATTTCGGTGCATAAGTTTTGTTTGATTTCTGCTTTGAAGCTTTTGATCTAGGACTTGTTTATTTTGGTTAATTTTCTTCTGAGCGGTAGTTGTGGGGATTAGAGAGAGAAGTAGGGTAAAAAGAGGGGGTTGGTCCGGTTCCGATTGATCTTCTTCTGCTTCTTTTGAGGGGGTAGCCGGGGCCTCGGCCTCGGCGGGTTTTAAAGCCCCCACCTGCACAAACTGAGAAGAAAATCATAATAATAACCCTAACTTCTTTTTAACCCAAAACAGATCGTCGCGGAAGAGGATGCCGGCCCTGGCTTGTTGCGTAGATGCTGCCCTTGCGCCTCCCGGCTACGCTAATCATGCAGGGGATAGCTCCCTTCAGTCGTCGATCCTATTTTCCGGCGTACCTCCGGCACCTACCACCACCACCGCATCCGCCATTGATAACTCTCCTTTCTCTCATTGGTCACCTTCCCTCTCTGCCGCTCTCTATAAGATCGACGGATGGGGTGCTCCTTACTTTTCTGTCAACTCCTCCGGCAATATTGCCGTCCATCCTTATGGGACTGATACGCTGGCTCACCAGGAAATTGATCTCATGAAAATCATGAGGAAAGTTTCGGATCCGAAGTCCATGGGCGGGCTTGGATTGCAGCTGCCTCTTATTGTTCGCTTGCCTGATATCCTCAAAAACAGGATTGAGTCCCTGCAGTCAGCTTTCAATTATGCAATCCATTCTCAGGGCTTTGAGGCTCATTACCAAGGTGTTTATCCTGTGAAATGTAACCAGGATCGTTTTGTTGTTGAAGATATCGTGAGATTTGGATCTCCATTCCGGTTCGGGTTGGAGGCCGGGTCTAAACCGGAACTCCTTTTGGCTATGAGCTGTTTGTGCAAGGGAAATCCAGATTCTTTCCTTGTTTGTAACGGTTTCAAGGATGCAGAGTACATTTCTCTGGCGTTGCTTGCCAGGAAACTCGCCTTGAATACAGTGATTGTGCTTGAACAAGAAGAAGAGCTCGATTTGGTTCTTGAAATGAGCAAGAAATTATCTATTAGGCCCGTGATTGGTGTTCGAGCTAAGCTGAGAACTAAGCATTCAGGTCATTTCGGATCTACTTCAGGTGAGAAAGGTAAATTTGGGTTAACCACAACCCAGATTTTACGGGTTGTGAAGAAGCTTGAGGGAGCAGGAATGCTTGATTGCCTCCAGTTGCTGCATTTCCATATAGGGTCTCAGATTCCTTCCACTGCGTTGCTTGCTGATGGTGTAGGTGAGGCTGCACAGATCTACTGCGAGTTAGTCCGTCTTGGTGCTCAAATGCAAGTGCTTGATATTGGAGGCGGGTTGGGAATTGATTATGATGGATCCAAATCTGGTGATTCGGATATATCTGTTGCTTATGGACTCGAAGAATATGCTCATGCTGTTGTGCAAGCTGTTAAGTTTGTTTGCGATAGGAAGAACATTAAACATCCGGTGCTTTGCAGCGAAAGTGGTCGGGCTATCGTTTCTCATCACTCCATTTTGATTTTTGAAGCTGTCTCCGCAAGCATGTCAAGTGCAGCTGCATCAATGACTTCTGCAGGGTTTCAGTATTTTGTGGATGGACTTACGGAGGATGCAATTTCTGATTACAGAAACTTAACATCTGCAGCTATGAGAGGTGAGAACGATACCTGCTTGCTCTATGCTGACCAATTGAAACAAAGATGTGTTGATCAGTTCAAAGAAGGTAGTATCGGTATGGAACAATTAGCTGCTGTTGATAGTTTATGTGAATTGGTTGGTAAAGCTGTTGGATTATCGGATCCTATTCGGACATACCATGTGAATCTATCAGTTTTTACTTCAATCCCTGATTTCTGGGGTATTGGGCAGTTGTTTCCTATAGTCCCTATCCATCGACTAGATCAGAGGCCGGCCGTGAGAGGGATTTTGTCTGATTTAACATGTGACAGTGATGGAAAGATTGATAAGTTCATTGGCGGTGAGTCTAGCTTGCCGTTGCATGAAATTGAAGGTGGACGGTACTACTTGGGGATGTTCTTGGGCGGGGCTTATGAGGAGGCCCTCGGTGGAGTTCACAACTTGTTTGGTGGCCCGAGCGTTGTGCGGGTTTCGCAGAGCGATGGACCCCATAGCTTTGCAGTGACTCGCGCTGTGCCCGGACCATCTTGTGGTGATGTCCTCCGGGTTATGCAGCATGAGCCCGAGCTCATGTTCGAGACTCTCAAGCACCGTGCTGAAGAATATTGCCACCATGACGAAGACAGTGATGATAGCGATGGTGATCATCACATGGGCAATGCTACTTTGGCTAGCAGTCTTGCTCGCTCTTTCCATAACATGCCTTATCTTGTGGCTTCTTGTTCATTGACTGCTTTGAATAATGGTGGTTTCTACTACTGCAATGAGGATGCTGCTGATTCTGCTACTGGGGATGAAGACCAGTGGTCCTATTGCTGTGCTTGAGATTAGCATCCCCCCACCAACTTTGTTAAAACATATTGTTGGTTTGTGTGTGTGCTAGAGGTCGTCGTGTTGTTTAACTCTTTTATTTAATTTTTCTGTCTATTCTTAATTTCCATATTTATCCTTTTTATCTATGGCAAAAGATGGAAGATGCAGTACAACCTTTTGCATTTTGTGATGAAAGAGGGATTGGGAAACCGAATAATCTATCCTTTTGTAAATTCGGGATCTTCGTCCCTCTTTTTATTGTACCTTTCGGTAGATTTTTTAAAGTTTTTGGTTCAATATTGCCTTTCATCTCTCTGCGCATATTCCTTTCAGTTTGATATATGCATGTTACTTGCAATACAATGCTCAGTCACTGCACGGCTACATGGAATGGCATAGTCATTTTTTATTGGTGGCTTTTTTGAATTAGTTGCTTTCTTTTCCTGACTTCTGATCTTGTGTAGGGCCTTCCGTTGGAGGTCAGATTGTGTTAAAAATAATAATAATAATAATAATCATTATATGGAGATATGTCTTTTGTGAAAAGGGCTTAACAAATGGATTCTGAAATCGTGTTCTGTGGGGTCTAATTGTTTTTAATTTTCGGTCGCGGTTATAACAGTGTTTGGTATGTAACTTAGACTTTGGTGTCATAAATTGACCTCTCAATTGCTCGAATCAGTCAGTAATTGTTGACCATTTCTCCTAAGAAGAGATGAGGTTATTTTGCAACAGCAGGGTTTTTATTGCGTGGAGTATGGTTGCCTTTTTGTGCATTCTTCGAGTGGTTTCTCTCTTGCTGTTGTGTTTTGTTGACCACAACTTTGTGGCTCCTAGCTAGCCTCGTGACATCTTGTGGTCAAAAATTGGATGTGGTGCGATGCTATTTGTGGGATACAAAACTTGAAGAGGCTAGTGATTGGTTGTGAGACGCAAATTATGCCTTTAGAATGTTAGTGGAATAACAATTGAATTACAATTTGAAAAACAAAATTAATTATAAGGTCAAAATGTATCTTAATTAGAAAAGTTAAATGAAACTGATTCCTCTATGAAACAACTTGACCGAAAGAAATAAAAATAGGAGGCTTGAAGGTTGCAAATTGGTATTGATGCATGGCCTTTGCTTTACAAGTTACAAAATATTTTGTGGAATGAAACTCAAAGATCCACTTTAATTAATACTTCATCCTGATTAAAGACATTCGTAAATCTCGTTCACAGGTATGACAGTGTACTGCATAAACCTGTAACATGCTTTTTTTTTTTTTTTTTTTTTTTTTTTAATTAATACTTCATCCTGATTAAAGGACATTCGTAAATCTCGTTCACAGGTATTGACAGTGTACTGCATAAACCTGTACATGCTTTTTTTTTTTTTTTTTTTTTTTTTTTTTGGAAAAACCTGTAACATGCATATTAAAACTTCTTTTCGGTTTTATTTCAGTAGTTCTTTGTATTAGTATTTGCTTAGTTCTCTGCTTTTGCTTGACTTGGTTTTCTGATGCTTCATATACGGGGTCTTGAAAAAGAGTAGTACTTTACGAACATCCTAGACTGTTTTTGCCTGAGGTGCCTGAACGCTGGCTGTATGAGTTAAACCCAAAAAAAAAAAAAAAAAAATGGAAAGGCAACAGAACTTTTCCTATAAGCAAGATGTTCATGCTTAACTTGTGCTTGTTCTATTGGCAGTGAGTTGTTTGCTGGTATTATGAAAAATTCGTTGTGAAGAAATCGAGAAAGGGCAAGTTCGATGTACATGGCATAAAAAGCGAACCGTCTAGTTTTCCTCTGTGTCTTGAGTTCGAAAAAAAAAAAAAAAAAAAATGGAAAGAGCAACAGAACTTTTTCTATAAGCAAGATGTTCATGCTTTACTTGTGCTTGTTCTATTGGCAGTGAGTTGTTTGCTGGTATTATGAAAATTCTTGTGAAGAAATCGAGAAGGGCAAGTTCGATGTACATGGGCATAAAAGAACCGTCTAGTTTCTCTGTTCTAGTTCCCAATTTTAATAGTCTTGCCAAGAAGCATCTCTTGCTATTGCATTAATGTGTTTCTTTGTTTAAGCAGGGAATTGGCCTAGTACGAAAGCCTTCTAGCTGTATGGGCAAAGGAAAAAATGATTAAAAAATCGTTTTTTGACTTGCTGATCAAAAAGTTTAAACAAATTAGTATAGCTATTTTACTATTAATGTCAAGGGACGAGAGTCCATAGATGCTCAATAAAATTTAGTTCTTAATAGAAGAGTTTCTCCTTTCTTTACTCTACACTAAGCATGACAGGCTCTGGAGACCTGAGGTATCTAATTATTTATTTCTCAAATTACTAAATTAATTTGTACTGAGGATGGTACAAATACTGTAATTTTTAATATGGCATTATTAGCATTTGGTTTAAAAGTCAAACTCTCGAAGGTTATGCATGCTGTCTACTATATCCACGCCCACAACTCTTGATTTCTAGAAAGGAATAGATCACCATTTTATCCTTCCACTCTGCTTACTTTTGACGGAATAGACTTCATGTTACATGTGCTGTCTCATGCATCCGAATTGTTACAATCAGGTTTGGCTTATAATAGTTTCTAAGTGGTGAGTTCGAACCTCAGTCAGACCCAATTAATTTTTCAAAACAAGATAATGCAAGAAAATTCATCGCTATAAAAGCAAAACAGATCTTTTGAAATGATTTCTTGATTTGCAGGTTTACGAAAGATTTTAGTGTGGATTCTTATTCTTTTATTTTCTGGCAACAAAATCATCTATGAAATGCCTTAAAATGCATGAGCAGAGAGTGCATGTGAACTGATTGAGAAATTTAACCTGTAGAGCCAATGGCCTTTTTTCAGGGAAATCATTGACAGCTGATATGTTTCTTTCACCAATTATCGGTATAAAAGTATTTCAAGTTTCTGATAATGTTTCTTTAAATATTTCATGTTAATCACATGCAGCTGATTATCTGTCTATGGCCCTACGTCTTAAGGAAGCCGTTGTCAAGTGGCAATCTTTGAAACTTTCATTGCTGGATTTATGCTTAAAGCATAAGCTTTATCTATTCAATGGAGGACAAGTCAGAGGTTCCATCAATTTCACTTGCACTCTGGTTGGAGAATAAAGAGCATTATGGTATGACTTGTAATTCTTATCTGTGTGAAGCTCGATTTTGATTTTTACCCATTGTTAAGCTATTAGGCATGATAAATTTATCATTTGGCTAGAGCTTAAGCTTTCTCTATATTTTTTCAGCTATAAAGCAAGCAGCTATTTTTAGATGCATGGAAGAACAATAGTCAACCATTTCCAATCTTATTCCTGAAAACTCTGATGATGATTTCCAGGTCCACTTCTTTTATTTAATATCAAAGATGGCTCTATTTAGAAAAAATTACGAATCTTGTTTGATGATCATACTGGTGAACGGCAGCCTACATTATAACCATACAAAGCAATCTGAAATGCTGGCATTGAAATGGCATTCGAGTTTTCAGCTAAGCAAAACTTGTTAAATAAGACTTATTTCCAACAGAAACTAATAGTCACATTTTGAATGCTTTTACTGTGTTTAAACTTTTGTTTTGTGGTGGTATATCAACTTCCAGTTGGTCAATTCATCTGTCTTGAGGATACAATCTCTTTGAAATATAAGTAGCTGGGATGTTGAAAGATATTAATTTAACTTAACTGTATGGTTTCCAAATTTTATCTAAACTTACTTTTATCAGTTTCAGCTGGATATGGATACTAAAGTTCACAGTACTATGCAAACCATCTTACTTGTGGTACTGTTGCAGTTAAATGCAGATATTAAATTCTTTGTTAATGAGATCTGTTTTCCAAGGAAATGATACATTAGAAGATTAATTTGTATTCTAATTCTGGTTCCCTGTTTTATTAATCTATCTTTTGAATTTATGTTGTATGGCTGAAGCTCTCTCTTGAGGACAACTGGCACCATAATGAAGCAGTATGGGAAGATGTGAACGCCCAAATTCTTGTAAGCTATCTTGAGCTCAAACTTGTTTCTTAATGTCCTACTCAAGTTTCACCTTAGATAACCGAATTCCAGCTTGATTCATTTACAGTTTATAGTTAAAAGAAACGTTGCTTTTTACAGACTCGAATTCAAATTTGAGTAAGGAGCTTAGTGAGGCTCGAGTTAAGCTATCAAATACATTTTTTCCAAGCTGTTAAGCATTTGATGAGCAACTAGACTTATTTAGAGTCCTACTCGTAACCAACATCAAGCCATGATTTTCAAAATCTGGGGCAGAATTTTTTTTTTTTTGAACATAATTGGATATCAATTCCTTTATTATCATTACCATCTGGTTTATCTAATCTAAACTTACCTCCAGCTACTTTGTTTGCATTAAATATGTTCTTTCTCTTGGACTTGGAATGTGATTATATTTGTCCTACCCTAGTATTATTTCAAATAAGCATGGAGTTGTTTAGTTGATAGATGCAGAAGTGTCATGTACTCATAGTGATAGAAGTGTCAAATGAATCAATCGCGGCACCCTTCGTGCCATGTCGTGCTGGATTGGATAATTGTGTCGGAAGTTTTAAATGCTTGGCTCCAAATACACAACCGTTGCACCCAGATTTTGTCTTGCCGTGTAATGCGTACTGACAAGTGGGTCCATGCTGACTCGTCATCACTTTATAAGTCCAAAATAAATTTTCGTAGTTTGAAAACATTAATTTGAAAACACCATTATATTTATAATTAAAGAATAAAACTTAAATTGCCATTCTCGTTGGAAGATGTAATATTTTTGTTTAGCAAAATATCCCTCCAAACTAGCTGTTCATAGCAGTTGGGAAGGGTATTTTAGGTAAAAAAGGAAAAGGTACTACTAGTTGTTTAGTGGGTTATTTTGATAAAAATACTATTTTTCAAAAATATCCAATTAGTCATTGACAGTGGCCGGGGAACTTTGTTTTTGAAAGACGAAAAAGGAAAGGGTTGTGCACTAGCTCGGGTATGGCACAACCTGCTCAGTTGCCACTCTATGGGAATGTAATGTGGGGATCAAAACTTTAGCGGTGGTTTAGGATTTTATCTTTATCAAATCAGTGCATATATATTTTTTTTGTTGGTAAGTTTGTTTTGTTATTTTGAATAATGTCTCTTTTCTTTTGAACTCTGTTTGTTATTTGGCCTTAAAAATAGCTAGACATGATAGATATGGCAGACTGTTTGTACCCACAAAAGGTTGTCTATATGCATCGATGACAGTGCTTTCATTCTGTTTGTTATTATGGCTGTGGGGTTTTGTGTTCTTAGTATATTGAGTTGAAACTTGGCTTGATATGCATAAATAGATATTTTGGTTTTTTGGGTGAAATCTCAATGTTGGAAACAGAATTTCCTTTGTTGGCAAAAGACGGAGCAAGAGTTGAAAATTATATGCAGAATAAGAATTCCTTTCCATCTAGAATTTAGTATAACATTTTCTTTCCTTTATTACTCTTATCACAAATGAAAGATTGGAAGAATTTTTAAAAAGTGGTGTTGTAATTGTACACTTTTTACTAAATTGTTCATATTCAAGGAGTATGATATAGTTCTTTAACAGAGTTGTTGCTTTTTCTTTAATGGAGAATAAGGCATCAAACCAATGTTTTTGAAGTTCACAAAGCTAGTATGACCACCAACAGGATTAGAACTATTTTCAGAAACTTTCACCTCATCTCATACATTACTACATCAAGATTGACATTTAACATTTTCCTTGGAAGCTCTGCTCATTTCCTGATATATCTTTTGTGGTATTTGACAAGGAGTATAAAAAAACAAGCATTATGTTCTTCATCTTTTTATCTAGGCAGGTGTCAAATCTGGGTTTTATCAGTTCACTTTTGGAAAGCATAATCTTTGCTTAAGATTTATTTAGATGGTTGATGATTGTTCACTTTAGGTTAAAAGATGGCTTTATTTTTCTTTTTAGTATCTATTCTTTATTGAAGAACATGCCTGTGGTTAATAATGAAAATTCTTGTTTGTTTATGACAGATTTTTCAGTTAAAAGTTTGGGTATTTGTGAGTCGTTGGTTTGTGTGGTTGAGGATATATTATTCTGGGAACCCCTCCTTCAATTAATTATTTAATCAATATATTCAATGATTCTATCTATAACTTATTCAATAACAAATCTTTTATAAGGATCTATCTGTACAGTAACGGTATTCAGTCCATTCTTGCAAGAATATGGATATAATTTTCGCCTTTTTATGTAAAAACTTCATTTAAATTGAATTTTTGCCGCTTAACTGATAACCATTTGCTACTAATATATACACTTTCTAAAAATGTAATGTAAAATACCATAATTAGCTATTTAATTGCAACCGGCTAATAGAATATGAATTTTTTTTTTTTAAAAAAAATATACCATATTTTGTTATTAATTTTGATAAGATTTTGTCTTGAATTTTTTAATTTTTGTTCAATACCTATATTTTCAAAAAAAAAAAAAAATAGTTCGTCATATGTTTTAAAATAATATTTATACTTTACATTAATAGGTTATTCAAAAACCATATCAAATTAGTATTTAATATGTACCAATAACCAAAACAAATTATTTTAAATTCACAGGAAAAAGTTTAATTGTGATAAAATATGATAATTAAATATTTTTGAAATTATTTTTCTAAAAATCTTTTTTTATAAGAGTAATTTTATATATCAATGTTTAATTTTTTTTGGCAACTAGATTTCGGCATACAATAAAATTGCACACTCATATAAGTGATTTTGACATATTGTAAAAACTATTTACAATGACTAAATTGTAACTATTTGATCTAGACGGCGAGAAAATGTTGCACTAAAATTACTAATTTAATTGACAAAAAGTAATAAAAAAATAAACAATAAATTTTATTTTATATGGAAACTACCAAATGAAATGCTAATCTCAATAAAAAAAATCCTATTAGTGAAAAAAGTCTTTGATAATTTAATTTTTTTTTATTGAAACTACTACTTTATGTGGTGGTTTTAATGTAAAAAAAAATTATTTTTTTATTGCTCTAGCGCTTATAATTGACTACTGTTTAGTAGGTGTTATTTTTGTATTGCAAATCACGAATTGAGCAGTTGGTTTTGATTTTGCATTCTCTTTCTACGAGACGATAAATATTAAATTTATAAGTAGTTTCAATTCGATGTTACACTTTGTATTTCTGTGGAAGTCACTCGAGGCCCATTTTTCACTAATATCTCCATAACTAAGAGGCCCATAATGAAAGGCTTAAGTGGCCAGTTTAATTTCCAAGCAAAGCCCAAGACAACTATAGAACACCTGGCAGACAACGACGTGGCGTGAACACTACGCATCGGAGCGCATCTTAGCCTTTTCGATATTCCCTCGTTACTTAATAATCCCAAATCAGTATTTCTTCTCCAGTTCCGTACTCTACAATTCCCAAACAATTTTCTTTCCTCTTCGATTCAGGTATTTCAAATTCCCCTTTCAGTTTCTACTTATTTAAAAAGAAAAAAGAATTCACTCTGTTTTTGATTTATTAAGATCTCGAATCTAAATTGTTGCCTGTTTGGTTCACCGGAAAATTTGCCACGAGTAATCGATGCAGAACGTTTAATTCTCAATTTGGTTTTTGAATTTCTTTGCTTTTCTTTTAAATGAGCTTTATATTGTGTTTCTGTTAATTTGAGTATCTAAAGTAACCAACTTTTATATTAATTTCGATTGAAAATTTTCAAGTTTTGTTTTAGATGAGAATTAAGTCATTACATTTGTTTTTGTTTGAGCTCTATTGGTGTAATTAATGGTTTATGTTTTTTTTTTTTTTTTTTTTTTTTTTTTTTTTTTTTTATTTTCAAGTTTGTTTTAGATGAGAATTAAGTCATTACATTTGGTTTTTGTTTGAGCCTCTATTGGTGTAATTAATGGTTTTATGTTTTTTTTTTTTTTTTTTTTTTTTTTTTTTTTTTTTTTTTTTTTTGTTTCGGTTGTATATAAGTTTTTTTTTTTTTTTTTTTTTTTTTTTTTTTTTTTTTTTTTGTTTCGGTTGTAATAAGTAATTTAAAACTAATGCATTTTTGTCTATGCAGGGTGCGATTGAAGGTTGATTGCCTGGTTTGACTATTTGTACGCCAATACAATATGGTATATTTTACTTTTATTATGAAGTTATATAAAAAAAAAATTCTTTTATTATTATATTAATCATTGTTTCAGTGGTAATGACGGTTTTAGAATGATTAGTAACTTGGATTTTTTTCTCTGTTCAAATATTTCTGTTTAGTCTGCTCAAATGGGTTAATTGTATTTTTTGCGAAGCGTACTCACTGCATTTAAGTTAATTCACATGGAATTCGTTTGGTACATGCTTTCGTAAATGTATGTCAAAGTAGGAACATGTTTATTTGGCGGCATTGCTGCCATGTGCAATATATATACACATTTTGCATGCAATGATACTTATAAGTGAAAGCTTCTACCAGAATGATTGGGTTTTCTGTTAGTCATTATCATTATACTACTATTATTATTTTACTTTAATGTGTGGATTTTGCGGTTGCAGTTTTTCGATGGATATGGATATCATGGGACGTCATTTGAGCAGACATACCGATGTTACCCTGCATCATTTATTGAAAAGGTTGGATCTTTTTTTCATCTGTTCTTCACTCAATAAACTGAAAGGCTTCATTGGCTAAATGATTCATATCCAATCAGGAACCTTCAGTGTTCTTATGTCATAACAATAGGGATTGAAAGTTTACTCATTTGTTATTTTTTCTATGGTTCTGCGCTAAAGCCTGCATATTAATTACAAAAAAAAATTCTTCTTCTCTTCCCCTCCCTCCTCTTCCCTCCAAAATTAACAAAAGAGGAAGCAGTTCTATTCTTATATTCTGATTATGAATGAACCTGTGACTAGGACTGCACAGGCTTTATTCTTTGACCATGTGGCTTAATAAGCATACTCTCTTTCTCATGGTTCTGATTTTTTTTTTTTTTCCTTTTTATTTATTTTCTCAACTTTCCTGCAGCCTCAAATTGAAAGTGGTGATAAAAGTAAGTCTTCAAACTCATGTCTTGTAGTTCTGTCTTTTTATTGTTCATTTTTCTCTTTAATTTTTATGTCATTTTTGTTTTTGTTGCCGCAGTTATAATGCCTCCTTCTGCCCTCGATCGCCTTGGTTAGTTGATTTACTTACTGGTTTTACAATTACATTTGTGTAATGGTGCTTTGAGTTATTTTGATTTGTAAGGAATCATGATCTCAGATATAAAATACTTTTCTTGGACAAAATCATGCAGCATCTCTACATATTGACTATCCAATGCTGTTTGAGCTCCGGAATGATGCTGCTGAACGCATCTCTCATTGTGGGGTTCTGGAGTTTATTGCAGAAGAAGGCATGATTTATATGCCTTACTGGGTAGGCATTAATATTTTTGCATTGATGGCATTCTAGTATGGTTTTACTTTATGTCACTTGAAGAGCAACAACTTTACAACACCAACCAGTCCTTAATACCTGCATTGATGTTTTGAACTTTTTTCAGATGATGGAAAACCTCCTCTTACAAGAGGGAGATATAGTGCGAGTAAAAAATGTGACTCTTCCAAAGGGAACATATGTTAAATTACAACCTCACACGAAGGACTTTTTGGATATATCCAATCCGAAAGCTATGTGAGTTTATGTCCTTACATTCAATTGCTATTCATGAGAGATATATGCACAGTTGTTATGGGTAAGATGATACTACTGTGGCTTTGCAATTTGAGGAGTTTTTAGAAATTTAGATGTGATGTCAGCCTGACTAGCTTACCAACCTGCCAGTAATTTTTCTCAATGAAACTAATATGAATTTCTTTGAGGCTCTTCACATGGGATGATCTCTTGTTTAAATGAAAATCTGGTGTCAGCGTTATACAAAAAGAAAAGGAAAGGAAAAGAGTTTGTGTTCAAAAGCATGCTTCACTTTTGGATATATGATGCACATACAGAAAGCCATTTTCGAGCTTGGTTATTTTTCCTTTGACATTAACCATCTTCTTGGATCTTGTAGAATAGTCTCTCGGATAATTTGGCTTATGTACTTGCAAATTTTGTTTTCTTGTCATTTTCTTTGGAATTTTACTGGGAGTTCAGAATGCTTTTTCCTATTATCCTGAGAAGTTTTACTGGATATCATGCCAAACACAAGTTTTAAGTTTCTCATAGACATGTCGATATGCGTGTTGAGACTTGTGTGCCTAAAGCTTTAGAATAATCCCCTTGTATTGAGTCTCATGTCATGTGGCCAATAGAGAAGTGAAAGAGGCTGGATACAGATAACATGTTGTCGTTAACTTGAACTTAGAGGAACAGGGTAGGATTTTTTTTTAGTTGGGATAAGCATGCGTTGGTAAGATGCATTGGATTTTGCCTTGTTTGTTCAATTTGGCATTTTTCATTGTCCTGAAAACTAACCATCTTTATACCCACCCACACAATGATTCTGTCCATTATGTTCTAGATAACATCTGATATAATGAAAACAACTTTGTTATGACTTCTTCTGTTATTATGTCTTAGATTCCTATTTTTGACTTGACCAATTTTTCCATGCAGCCTAGAAACAACATTACGGAATTATTCCTGCTTAACAACTGGGGATAGTATTATGGTGGCATATAACAACAAAAAGTATTACATTGATATTATTGAAACAAAACCTTCCAATGCAATAAGTATCATTGAAACAGACTGTGAGGTGGATTTTGCACCTCCACTGGATTACAAGGAACCTGAAAAACCAGCTCTATCTATTCCACAAAGCAAGGCAACGTCTCAAGGTGCATGTTTCCCTGTACTTGTCTTTTTCATTTATCCTGATTTCTTGTCTGTGCCATGCTTCCTTGTGCTATTCCATGTTTTTTGTACTTTGCACTATGAATTTCCTGTAACGCAATAATCCCTAATTTTCCTAGTTCTATTTTTTAGTGAAAGTTTCCATTATCCAAAAACTCATGCTTCTGCTAAGGTACTTTCTGTTTTGTTTCACTGCCCATTTGTGTAATTCCCCTCACCTTCTGCATTGGTGCTAGAAGTGAATCAAGTGATGGCACATAGAATTTAATTATTGATGTTTCTTCTTCTGAAAGAAATGGCTTCTTGTTAAATTTTTGGTATTCTTCTGCCCATAAAACCAACGCGGAATACTAAAGATCCTGCTTATTCAAGTTTGGAGAAGTTGTCATCCATTGATTTCTTTTTCAATTTTATGATGCGAACTATATCTTTACTTTGAGCAGTTGAAGAGGATCCTGCTGAAAATGAACCAAAATTCAGTCCTTTTACTGGAGTGGGAAGACGCTTGGATGGAAAACCTTTGAAGCAGCAGCCTGCCCCAGTTTCTTCACAAGGGTCCAAAGACAAGCAACCTGCTGTTGCCAATGGTAGGGGACAACCTTCTGTGGGGTCTAGTTCACAGGATACTGCACGGCAGCCTCAAGGAAAACTAGTATTTGGTTCAAATGTTAGCCGTGCTCCCAAGGAAGCTCAGAAGGTACTTTTTTTTTTTTTTTTTTTTTAATAGCCGTGCTCCCAAGGAAGCTCAGAAGGTTACTTTTTTTTTTTTTTTTTTTTTTTTAAAACTTTTTTTTTTTTTTTTTTTTTTAAACTTATCATCATTTGGAATAAGATTGCTGTCTGTCATTGAGTCAATATGAAAAACATTTTGACCAAAGAACTGTTTTAACGAAAATTTTGATCTTTTGATCATATGCAGGAAGCTGGAAAAGAGACCAAGAAAGAGCAAAATGAAAAGAAAGAAGAACCAAAGTTCCAGCCTTTCACAGGCAAGAAGTACTCATTGAAGGGTTGATTTGTATTATCCGACAATTGATACCTTTTAACCTGTTATGCTTTACTCATCCTTGATCAGGCAAAAGCAATAGAATTATGTGTTTATATGGGATATTGTATTATTGAAAGATGGAATTTTAGGTTCCAAAGGGAAGCAAGGAGTACATACCCTTGTTTGACATGACTTTCGAGCTTCAAGTTGACTTAAGGTGTTCCTGCTGTTCTATCTCTTTTTATAGTCATGCTAATACCCAAGCATAAGCATCATAATGACTATGGTGATGTAAGGGTGTATTGAACTTGAATTTAAATATAACAGGGGTTGTTATCTTCTTCCTAATTTAAGAACCATTACCAAATGTTGAGAACAATGATTTTAATTGTTCACAAAGAGATTGCTGCTGGCTTGAGGTTTACTAGGCGCTGCTGGCTTGAGTTTTACTAGGCGCTGCTTGCTTTTGAGGTTTGCTAGGCAAGAAACTATGTTGCACGGAAGTGTGGAAACGGGGGAAGCGTGGAAACAGGGAAATGTATTTACAAAAGGAAACGTGAGAAAACACATAAATATGAAAAATATTGAGTTATATATAAATATCAAAAAATAAATTATTATAAACTATTAAATATGTTCAACAAGTTAAGTTTTACGAATTTAAGTTCAATCAACATTTTATCATATTTAAAAAAATTATGAGTTTCATATTATAATGTTTTATGAATTTATATTTATTTATACATTTATTTTGATAAGAGAAATGAGTTTTTGAGAGTTTTCATTTTATTTTACAGAAACGTATTTACAAAAGGAAAATGTATTTTCAAATTACTCAATTTATAAAAATGGCTCTAAACGATTCGGAGGAGTTTTCAAATGTAGGAAACATTTCCAAAACGTGGAAACAGCAGCCACGACGAGTTCCCATGCAGAAAACGTTTCCGAAACCTGAAAATGGCAGCCAAGAAAAGTGTACGTGCAACATAAGCTTCTTTCATCACTTAGGCTCAAGTTGGAGTTT